TTGATTGTTACACATTATATCCTGTGTCGGCTCTAATAGGCATTGAAAGATTTTTATGCAGATTATTTCTAGAGAGCCTTTATCTTTTATCTATTGTCAAAATGTGTTTAGTTGTGAATATTAATATATTATCCAAAGTTTCATGAGGAGATTTGGCGATCAATTTCAATATCTTATGTATATGAATTTAAACAAATAATACTACATATTTGGCAACCTGCGAGTGACTCTACATCGAACGTTCGCGAAATCTAGTATGGTTTAAAATGATTGCTGATGAAGATTCCAAACAGAATCGAAACGTTGAAGATTTCAAGATTTCAAATAAAGATGATATCAACATATCGTATGGATTGACATAATTATTTGTAAAAAATTTATTGCGCACCTCCGTTCGCGCTGACTCTCATTAGCACAGATTTAGGTGTTTTACTGAATAAAGTACTGCATAAAGTGAATTACTGAAATTAATAACGGAATGGATCTCTAATGCTTTGTATATCTTACGTATTTATCTATTAAACATTTTCTATACATTTTCCATTTCATAATTTAATAAAATTTAGTTACACGCCATTTTTTATCTTACAAATTTTTGTAATATTTAATTTAAATATTCTTCTAGCAAATGCTATGCAATTAAAAGTTGGTTGACGTCTGTTAAAAATATAATAAACATTAAGTTATATATACTCCTAAAACATAATTCTTTAAAATTTCGTTAGAGATTTATATAGCCTATTTTTTTATAACTTAAGAAATTAAGTTCTAATATAAAAAAATTAACAAATCAAAATATAATGATAAAAAAATTAAAATTACTTTTTAGTCATAGAAAGTCGAGATACAAAATATAATCAAGAATATCCTTCGTATTCAATAACAAAAACAATATTTTTGTTAGCTTAGTTTCATAATGTTAATGCAATTTTCTCTGGATATCTGCTATACATGCACTGCGAAGAGCTATACGGTCATGAATAAAATATAATAGGTATTTCAATGACATAAACCGTCCATAAGATCATTAATTCGTTAAATAAATCTGTTTGATTATCAAAGATCTGAAATATTAATGTTAAATTTTATTATATCAACTAATATTATTAAAACGTAATAATTAGTTAGACTTTAAGTGTAATTAATTCGAAGTATATGTTATAAATTATATAAATTATGTAAAAGAATTTATAGTAAAAAGGAACAATTTATTTTTCTATATACGATTATTATTATTTATATACACAGTTTTATTAATTTCGCAATCCCGCATAAAACTTCATAGTATTCCAAGAATGCATTCAGACAGAAATGTTAAGTCAATGCTATGTATCAAGGCCGATATTATCGTAAATTGCTACCTACATCTAGTCTTAAGTATAAAGAAAGAAGGTTAACTATTCATGAACTTTGAGTTATAGGGTACAGATTTATTATTAACTAACCTTGATAATCTTTATTAATCTGTAGATAATCTAGTCAGAGTGTGTCATTTAAAGATGTAATAAATTATATGTTATCTCAAGAACAAATGTCTCATTCCTTCATTAACATCTATACTACTTATATAATTTAGAGAAGCTATATTTTTCTGACAATGTTTTACCGCCGCAATTTGATCACGCAAGCAATATGCTTTATATAATGCGATGACTCGATAAAATTTAAATTGCCATCATTTGAAACATATACGCAGTAAAAATATTTTATTATATATAAACACATAGGCCCGTATTTAGAACGCGCTTTTATCGATAAAAGCGCACTTTTATCTCTGAAATTCTATAATATACGTGACGTAAAGTATAGTATGTAGCGTGCTAACATCGTTGTAAGCGCGTTCTGAATACGGGCCATCATCTTTATCTAAAAAATTAATTAAAGAAATACGAATATATTTCAGAATTATAAAAAGACTGATATTTTCTCTTTCATAATCCGTTCTTATAAAGATTTTTTTAAATAACAAATAAAAATTGAAAAAAGCTCCAAAGATTAAATCAATAAAGGTATATAATGCCAATGAGAGCCAATACAGCTTTGTAATCAAATATAATATATATGTCAATCACAGACGTTTCGACCATAAGATTCGGCCCTGTTCAGTTTGTCAAAAACATTTTTGGAGTCATCTTAATTCGTTTTAACGATATAGGCGCATACAGTAATGAATCATCGTTAGGCTGTTGCACAAAATTAAGAACTTCATAATCGTTTGTTGTATTTAGCTGGATATCCAAATATTAATTCAGTCATTTAGCTAAAATCAAGTTAATAAGTAAAATTTTTTAAATACTATTCATAGTTACAGTATTGAAATTAATTATATCAGTTAGATAATCTTACATTATACTCGACATAACGATGATCCATTATAAACGCGATGTGATTATAACTATGTCTTGAGAACGTGTAAGAGGACGTTTCGTGTTCACATTGTTTATATATAAGTCTAAATATTAAATATAATAAATACTAACATACGAATCGATTATACAAAATTATAACTTGTATAACAAGGAAACCGAAACAATTACCAACTTAAAAATCGACGATACAAATTTTTATAACTTATAAAACATGGAAACACCATTTACTCTTAAATAAATCATTATATAATGGATCCAACAATTTCGTATCATTTTGTAAATTCAGTTCATTTTTTGCTTTTTTATATGAATTGCTTCCGAAATTAGTCTCTTATTAAATTCTTGTTCCTTATCTACGTTTGGCTTACATAGAACTTTATAAACTAAACACCTTAATAAACGAACTAAGAGCACAAAAGAATGAATTACCTACATTATCAAATTCTAATGTGGTTTATAAAATTAATTGTCAAAATTGGCATCCTATGTGGGCCAAACAAAACGGTTATTGAAAACACGAATTAATGAACATTGGAATCACATAAGGAATACTACATAACACTCAGTAATTATAGAATATAATAAAATGGAACACTCTTCTCTATCACGATTTTGAATGGAATGATATTGAAATTTTAGATGAGGAGCAAGGATTTAATAAGGAGACTAATTTCGGAAGCAACCCATATAAAAAAAACAAAAAATGGACTGAATTTAAAAAATGATACGGAATTGTTGGATCCGTTATATAATAATTTATTTAAAAGTTTTGATTTAAAACTGCAAAAAAATATAGTTGTTTCCTACATAAAACTATAAGCTAAATTATTTGTTATTTTGTTTTTTATAGTTGATCTTAAGGCGTATT